AATACAAATGTGAGAGATATGTTAATTTAGTAAAAAAAATGAATGTAAATTGCTTTTGAACGCATTTAGCCTATATTTGGACTGATTACAAGAATTAACAATGGAAGTGCATTGCTATTTGTTTGTTGTTAACCCTTTAATGTGAGTGTACTTAAATTTACAGTTAGGTTAACTGCTATGAATGTAGGCTGGTATAATGAAAAAAAAAGTTTGTATATGATTGTATAATTGTAACAAATGAACGATATAAGTACAAAAAATAATGAATTTCATAGTACAATGCTATAAATGGAACATATGAAAGTAAGATGTTATATAAGAAAGTAAATTTTATCTATTGTTTTTACGTAAGTATACTCGGCCAACGGACGAGTATAACATTAGTTCCATGGGTTACTGAAATTTAATGTCAAACATTTAAAAATAAAAAATTTAAACCCTTTGCTTGATTTCTACTATTTTCTTATTTAAAAAATTTTGTTTAACCTTTTTGCATATTTGATTCATAAAGTATGTTGTTATTTCCAACATCTAATAAAAGATTTATTTTTTTATCATTTAAAATCATAAAATTCTAGACTCCTTGTCCTTAGTTGCTTGCTTTATATTACTATTTCATTTATTTAAAATTTTGAGTTTTACATATTTGCGACACCTAGACTTTTTGAAACACCTAGTTTGATGCCACCTATTAACCTAAAAAAAATTAGATGAACATCTTTTGTAGTTTTCTTTCATGTAGCTCTTTCAGATTATCTTATGTTTTGAGATTATTAGAAGAACATTAAGGTACCATTCTATATGATTTTTATCATAAATTTGTCCGATTTTTTATGGTTGATTGTTTGAGCTTTTATTAATATTAGTTTAGAATTTAAATATTATTTGGTTTTTTATTTCTAAAAGGTTAAAAAGTTAGTGTCATGGCCATAATGGCCATCCATAAAAGTGCAATCCCTATCCCTACTCTAATAAAAGATAAAATAGTAGTTTGATGGACACGTGTCCTTTTTCTACAACATCTATTTTTATTTTTCCCGCTCATTTCTTTTGCCAATCAAATACCCAATCTACCCTTTTCCCTTTCATTATCAACTCCATTAACAACTTGGAAAAATACGATTTGTAACATTAAGAACAAGAAATCAGCTTCAAAATTCAAATCAACGAAAATCTCGGCCATATCAACGTTATACATTCTAAGTAAAAGACTATGAATACAAATCACGGACCGGTTCAATTCCTGTTCATAATTTTACCCTCAATTAAATCCTTCTCTACTGCACAAAGATCCAAATTGAATAGATTTTTCAGAATTTGTTCTATCTGACTTGCTTGAGCATATCCCAACATTTGAGGAACATAATTGATCCCTGAATATCACTAGCTATAGGATTGCGAATCCAATTCCATATATTTATTTGCTCTTCTTGGTCAATTCATTGTTTGCGCATCCTCCCATAACCGGTGGGTTTTTTTTACTTTGTTTGCTTATTTTCTTTCAGATATTATACAATTGTCTTTTGTGAACTATAAAATCGGTTTTATGTGTGTAGGAGTTGTGTTTGTGCTAATGGCTAATCTATTGACGTACTCATACCTCAACTGTCTACAAAAATTGATAATAGAAGTTGAGATCATTAATTCATTGTTCGATTTGTTGATTATCGTAACTGTGATTCAATTAATCTCCTATTAGTACTTTATTGAATATCCAAGAAGAGTTAGAAACAGAGATGGCTCCTCAAAACATTGGAATTCTTGCCATGGAAATCTACTTCCCTCCTACTTGTATCAAACATGTACGATTTGTTCTACTTTTGTTTTTTACGTTAATGATTTATACATTAGTATGCTTGTACGGTATAACTAAAAGTCCGTGTTCTTCAAGTTGATTGATTTCGTTCTTCTATAAGCATAACTGTTGTTTCCATGAATAGCTATGAATCTGTATTGCTATGGGAAAAATTATATTTTGTTTTTAGATTTGTGCAAAAAGTAACACATTTTGGGATACACGAAGTTCTGTTTCACTACAAAATTGGACATGTGTAATCTATTTATCAAATATAATGTTTTGAGCTCATGAATATTGTTAGACATATGCAACCATTGTTAGTATTTTTTTTCTTGCAACCACCAAAGCATGGTTTAAAGTTTCATTGAATCTATTGAAGAAATGTGCATACTTTGAGATAATAAGATCAATTTTATCACTAGGAAAAATTGCAGGTTATTATGCTGAAGAAATATTCATACTCTTGAGCTTAGTTTTGTATTTTTAAGTTAGACTCAATAGGAACACTACATAGGGGTTATTTCTTTTTTACTTGATGAATCTTTATATCTGTAAGTTTTTACCCCTAGGAAAACTTATTGAGGCTAATATGAGATTTATGAAAATTGATCTATCTATTAGTACTTGCGTAATAGCTTACATAAGTTTATGCTAAAAGAAGATTAAAACCTAGAAAAAAAATCCAATATCATGTGTGGTAAAACCTATTTTGTCCTGAAGAGCAAAAGACAAGTTCAAGAAAATTGCAAGTGGTGTACCCTGAACTACATGTTTTTATTTCAAACACCAATGTTTCCATTTATGTTTCCATTTGTTTGATGGTATATATTTTATGATCCTTTCATTGATAGGAACTGCATAAGTTTACAAATAAAAGAAAATCCAGGATTGAAAAGAAATCACTAGGTTCTTAGGTAGCCTCATTTCTTCTTTATTTTCTTTGTTGTCATTCAATGTAAGGCTATCTATCAATTGGTTTATGCCCCGAATTTAGTTTTGTTATTAAGTGGGTTTGGCTTCAAATGATGTTAATATAGTTTATTATATGCAAATTATTAAAATTTATAATCTTTTAAATTGTTAGTTCATTGCTCTTTTTAATCTAGCGACAGATCATCAAATGTAATTAAGCTTATCTTCTACAATAGTACATAATACTTGTAAGGAGTTCAGAATGACTATATGTTTAATATGTTTAGTTTGGTAATAATAAATTATAATTTTACGTTTACTTACGTTGATGTTAGTTTTATTTCTAACATGCTATTTTTTTAAAAAACCGATTATTAGTTTATTGTTTTTAGTTTGTTATTTTATATGTTTTATTTAGGTAATTGTTAATACAACTAATAAATTATGATAATGTTTTCATGTTTGATCTACACTAGGTTTTCATGTTGTGTTCGAGATTAGATAAGCATACGACATTTGGAAAGGATTCCATTCTATCACAAGTTGTAATGTTTTTTCTACTCATGTGGAGGAAGATACCAAGGCACAAACTTCATTGGAAATTGATGAAGTTTATGAAACAATACTCTATAAACAATGTATTTTTATTTCATACATTAATTATCAATGTACTATCACTTCCTTGTCCAAATTACTCTCTATAGGTCGTTCTTAAAATTATCATTTAACTTGCATAATCCCAAGTTTCTATACTTTGTCCATTCTTGAAGACTATCACATGGAGGTTGTATATAGGGAAAATTGTGGAAATATTGTTTTATTGATATAATAGCTTAATAAATCATAGATTTATAATAGCTTAACAAATCGCAAATCAATTTGATATATTGTCTATATGACTATATGCACCTAAATTAAACTAATTTTTTTATTAATATGTTACCTTTAAACGTTATTATTTAGGCTATTATTATGAAATTAAAATTTGACGATACTATGCACCCTTTCTAACCAAAGTCACTGTCCCACACAGATTTGATTCGCTTTCATTATTGATACCATGTGTGTAAGACTATGTGTGTAACTGTTGTTTCGTTTTTTTCTGCAGATAAATAGTTTCAGCCAATCATTTAGAGATTCGGTTTATTGGTAAGAAAATATAAGCATGTTGCCTATATGTAAAAGAAAAATGTAAGTATGTTGCTATGAACTACATGTAGCTCTTATTGGTAAAAATATTGTTACTTTGTATTTTTTGTTTTTGGAAATTTTCATTTTCTTTTCTACTATTTATTTTAATTTGTAGTCAATTTTTGATACACACTCCAACAGAAGGTGCTCGTTGCTCTTTCATTGATGCTCTTATCACAAAGTAGAATGCCAACTATTGGTGTCGGTTTTATTATTGTTGCTATTAGCGCATTAATTTCAAAGCAAATAAACATTTCGTTCTTTTTGCAAGTCCAACAACTCAGACTTTGTCTTTTTTAATTAAAAAAAATAAAAATAAAATAAAAAAAAATAAAAAAACTCTTTGTACCTTTAAAATGATGTGTTAGTACTTGTAGTAAAATGGGGTAATAGAGAGGTATGTATATGTTTTTTATATGGTCATAAATAACAATGTACTTGCAAAATACATTGCCATGTTACTTTTTTAATTTTGTTAATTTGATTTTTTTTAGTTTTTATAAAATCATGCTACATTAAACAAATGAAATTATGTTTCTATTTTTTAAATTCTATTTCTAGAATCTACGTTATTTTAATTTATCATCCGTGTGGTACACGAGTTTTAACCTAGTTTTTTTAATAAATAGTTTCCCAACTTTCATCAATCAAAACTACCTCCGTATAAGAATTGGTAATCATCACAAGTTTCCAATCTTTCATCTTTTTTATCAAATAAATATTAAAGTAACAAAATAACAACATACTTTTAAAATTTTACGTACATAAAATCTCAACTTAGAGAAGTCTCCACCTCACATTGATATCTTCTTTTAATCACCTACACCAATCTCTAAATATTATTAAAAGAGAACCTTAAAATCTAAATTGAAGAAATAAAGACCCTTGACTCTCCACCATTGAATATTTTTTATGACGTCATCGTCGAATATACAAGCGCCTCAAATTGCAACTTACCTCTTACGTTTCATACCCAATTTCATTCCTCACTTTTCTCTGCACACAATCAGCCATCGTCAAAGGCTCCCAAAGCATATCTCCTCCGTCTCTCCTTTATCTCTTGAGTCTCTGACAGCCGTTTGTTACCATCACCATCAGTATGCTGTCAATACGACCTACAAGAAGGTAAGTGATCATCCTTTCTGATCTTTGGTTTTGATTTCCGATCATAGATACACATCGTCGTTTTGTTTTTCAGATTCATCATCTTCAGGTGCGATTCCCCTTTATTCAGAGTTACGATTCTCACTCCTTTACATCTCTGGTTTTCCCCTTCCAAGAAGATTCAGTTTGATTTTTTCACGTTATCTTATTACAATTCCCGATGGAAATTTAGGGTTTACTTCCAAATTCTTTTGCTTTGCTTTATTAGCAATCATCAACCGTTTTTTCTTTTGGATTTTAGAATTGATTGCTTCATATATTGTATGTGGAACCTTTTTCATGAATCAGTTCAATTTCTTTTTTCAGGATAATAATCCAAATGACAGAGCCTTCTAAAGTCATTCACGTTCGGAATGTTGGTCACGAGATTTCGGAGGTTTGATTTCTTTGTAATTCACAACGTGCTTCTTTCGATTATGCATATTAAGGATGGATTCCTTTGCATTCTTTCTGTTATTCATCACCCTCGATGAATTTTTCTGTTTCTGTTCATAAAGATCGATGCTAATTGTAACTTTGTAGTTATAATTCCGTTTCATTCTCTCTGTTATTCAGCCTGATCTCTCTGTCTCTTTGATATAAAGTTGTACAAGTTTTTTCACTTATTTTTGTTCTTAATAAATAACACACACACAACACATTGCAAACCTTGCTGGAAACAAGACCTTGGTGCTGCCTGTACCAACATTCAATGTGATAAATGGAGGTTCACATGCAGGCAACAAGCTTGCAATGCAGGATGCCACAAACTGGAAGTATAACATAACTTAAAGTCTGTCATCAAAAAGAAATATGGTCAGGATGCCACAAATGTTGGTGATGAAGGTGGCTTTGCTCCCAACATCCAGGTCAGCAATTTTACTTTAATAAATTATATTTATATCTATATAAATAAACTTATGTGTTGTCATTATTTGTTATACAGGAGAACAAAGAAGGCCTCGAGCTCTTGAAGACTGCAATAGCAAAAGCTGGATATACTAGAAAACATAAACTTTCATATTTTAAAATAAAAAATATGTTGATTGTTTCTGCAAAAAAAGAGATTAATTCCAAATTACATGTTGTTATTGGAATGGATGTTGCTGCTACTATGTTCTATGAAGACAAGAGCAAAACCTATGATTTGAACATTAAGGAAGAGGTAAGAGTTAATTATTGGATTAAGTGTTATTATGAAATTAGATAAAAATATAGGGGTTTGTAATTTTGTATTGTTGTATTGTTGTATTGTTGTAGAACAACGATGGATCAGAGAAGATATCAGGGGACAATTTGAAGAACGTGTACAAGTCATTTGTGGGTGACTACCCGATTGTATCAATAGAGGATCCTTTTGATCAAGATGATTGGGTAGTTTATGCAGATGGGAGCATATGTTTGGACATTCTTCAAAATCAATGGAGTCCAATCTATGATGTTGCTGCCATTCTTACATCAATTTAGGTATGCTAGCTTTGATATTATGTGGGGTCCTTCTCTTTGAAATTTAACATCTGTGTATGTTGTTCACATGGGTTTTTAAGATTTAGGAGCCTTATTGAATCTTTAGTTGGTTTTCTTGACGTAATTTAAAATTGATCAATAAGAAAGAAGCAATTTGGAATATCAAATTAGCAATAGAGAATTAGAGATGTTTTCTTACAAAACTTCGAAGGCATTTTCAAATTTTATTTTCATTAAAAGGCGTGTTTGGTTGCAAAAAGGACGGAATTGGAATTTTGTCGAAGTTGTTCAAATTCCATATTTGATGGGTTTCACCACATTCCTAGAGAAGGGTGGAAGGAATTCAATTTCATTATCCATATTTTTATTTATGGCCCAAAATATCCTCATTTTATATATTGAAATATGTAAAAACAAATGAATGGAATTTAATTCCTTCAGATTTCTTCATATTCCATGTTTCCTAGGGTGGATGGATGAAGTTCAATTTTATTCATTATTTTTTATCAAAAGACCAAAATATCCTTATTATATATTGAAATAAATAAAAATAAAATTTTTTTAGTAACACGTTGATATTGTAAATCTTTATTATTGAATCCGATTCCATTTCAAAAACATTCTGTCAACCAAACGCCCCTCATATTCCAATTCTTTCAACAAATTCAAATCTTTTCAAAAACATTTTACAAACCAACCACCCCCTAAGGAGGGCGTTTGGTTTGCAAAGTATTTTTGGAAGGAATGGAATTTGTCAAAGGAATTGGAATCTGTCATGCGTTTGGTTGACATGGAATGTAATCTGTATTCTTTTTAGTTTGCGGATTTCTCAAAGGAACTGGAAAGTAAATTATATAATAGGACCTAATTAACCTTTTATTGACTCTATAACTTTTTTAACAGCAGAAAATATTATTATTATTTTTAATAAAAAAGATTTTTGACATAAAATCTCTCAATTTAACACAAAAAAACCGACTTTCGGCATAACCGATTTTTCTGTGTAAAATTGGGGGCTTTTATGTCAAAAACCCTAATAAAAATGATAAAACTTTCATTTAGATAAAAATTTCATTTATCAAACTCTTACCACTCAAACCTATGTTTTATCGAATTTGCATGTAATAAAGAGGAGGTGGGAGGGTATTTTTGTCTTTTTTAATAAAACATAAGGAATAAAATCCAAAATCCAAAATCTTTACCCTTTCCTAAAGAATGACCAATTTCTTCAATCACAAAATCTAATGAGATTTAGAAAATTCCAATTCCTTTGAGTTTGTCAACCAAACACAATTTTGACTAGAATTTACATATTCCAATTCCTTTGAAATCCATGAACCAAACACACCCCATGTATTCATTAAAAGGGAATGAAACCAAATAAAGTAACAAAATATTAACAAATTTTGAAAAACAACATGATTGCATTGAAACTTATGGTAATTTTTTCTAACTCACATTTGTGAATTTTAGTCATTACTGTGCGATCCAAATCCAAACTCCCCAGCCGAAGCAGCACGGTTGTTTAGTGAGAATAAGCGCGAGTACAACAAAAAAGTGCGTGAAATTGTTGAACAAAGTTGGATAGCCGGCTAAAAAAACATCCGCTGCTTTCATATCTCATCTCATCTGTGTACCTTTATAACATATATATGCTTCATTGAGAACACACCACTTAAACACTAATAATGGAAAACCAATATAAGTTCAATTTCTAGGCAAATTTAAGCTTTTTTTTTCTAATGTTTTATTCATGTTCATTTGCTTCTTGCCTTTTGAGACATTGTTGTACATAATGATTTCTTGTAATATATTGTCCTGAAATTTTCTCTTTTTTTGTTCTTTTTTGTTGCTTGAAAAGATAACAAAGTTTTTTTTTTTTTTATATGTATGGGTAAAATGACTGATTGTGTAATGTTGTTTGCTTGGATAAAGTGATGTATGCATTAGGTGTGATTCTTTTCTAGTCTGGATAAATCATCGTCTAAAAGAGACTAAATGATATTTTACCTCATGATTTTAAAAAGTATTTCACAAGATTAATCAATTTTGTCGTGAGGAATTCGGAGGGTGAATAGGTAAAATGTTGTTGTGTTAAGCCGATAAGCCAATATTGTTGGGTTAATTCAGATTGAGAGCTTATGTTGATAAGCTTGTTAAGTGAAAAAGAAATTTCTCTCGAGTGTTTGTAACTAAATGGCTTTGTATTTGCAAGTTTATTTGATTCGTTGCATGTTATATTTACAAGATGACATATTTATTACAAGTACTTGATATGGAAGTATTTTTCATTTATACCCCTACATATTTGTGGCTGTTTTATATTTTTGGATGATACAAAATCAATAGTTCAGTCTATGCACTCCAAACCCCAATAAAATGTTGTATATCTTGTTTTCACAATAAACGGTCCCTTAGACTTAGACCTCCAACCCACTTCCATTTGTTTACCAAAAAATAGAGTAAAAATGGGGTAAATAGTGTTTCATCTTCAACTTTATGATTTATTAGTTTTTTTTATTTATTCTTTTAATTGTTATGAGGTTAAAATAGCTATTGTAATATATGTTAATGAATTTAGAATAGCTATGGTAATATACTTTTAATTGTCATGCTTCCTATGATGTAATATATGTTTACAATTCTATGTTTATTTATACGCTCCACGCGTTTAACGCGGGTCATAATCTAGTATCAATTTAAAATACACAGATATACTTATATTTTTCTCAGTTAATACCAGAAAGTCTAATCTTTATTTACGAATGTTGCAACTATTGTCATCTAATCATCTTCCACTATTATCCTTTCAATTATATTTAAAAAAAAATACTCATTATTATTTCTCAATGAAACCTGGTTCTAGTGTAGTTGCAGCACAACTTATAGAAGGAATATGAGGTCAACATTTGCCTAAACAATTAAATGTTGTAGTCATAATTAATGAAACATGTATGAAGACGTATGGAACCCCACATAAAAGGAAAAATAGAGTTCCAATAATTATAGCGGCTGGATGGGAAAAAAGGGTTCGGTGAAAAGGAAGTCGACGGAAAGGGTTTTGATGGAGGGGATTTATTCTATTCTACATATATTTTGTTATTAATAATTATTATATCATATCTTATGTTAAGTTTTTCTTTTTGATCTATTCGGTTATCGCGATAAAAGATCTAATCGCGGTTATTTGCCGTGATTTGAAATAATGGTTCTCGTCGTGAGATAGCAGTAGAAAAGCGGTTTTTAAATTATATATATATATATATATATATATATATATATATATTATATATATAGATATATATATATATATATATATATATATATATATTGCATTAATTAATTAATACAAGAGAAATACATAGCTCCTCTACCATCAGGGTTCCAAAATCTAAATCCAATCAATTCATTAAATTAAGTAAATCAATCAATTAAATCTTCCTTATAAAAAAGTTAATGATTTCCTTATATATAAAATTAACCGATAGATAAAGGGAAAAAACGATAAAATCATAAGGAAAATGCAATCGACACAGTTAAAATCGATTTTGTGAAATAGCAGTCACAAAACGAGATCTCGGAGTCGAAATAGCGGCAAATTGCCAATATCGGCGAATCTTGACGATATTAGTGGCTCCGCTATTTCTGAGCGCTATTTGGCACTACTATTTGGCCTACACCCGCGAAATGCTATCCCACCAAGATATTAATTGCTCAATTTAGGATACATAGTATTTTGTTAATTTTTTATATAAATCAAAATATTATAAAACTATAAAATAAAATATACGTAGTGATTTTTCTTAAGTTTTTTCTATACTTTAGGTAAAAATTTAAAAATTATCCAACAATAATAATGTATATTTTGCTAGACACCCTGCAAAATGTTTATAGAGTACAAACATTACAAAATATGTGCCAAACAACATGTCTTGGATCATTTCAGATGCCCATAAACATTTTGCAGTATGCCCTATAAAAAATGGACCGTAATAGGTTGAATGTTTTCCCGCTTTTAAGGCCAAAAAGAAAATATGAGACCTCATTTTCTCTTTTATTTTGCTATAGAGAAACATGTTCTCAACTCAATTCTTAATGGTGGAAGAGGAAAATATGTGTTTGACTAAGTTTATCTTATGTAATTAGTTTAGATTTACACATATATGATATATATGAATTGTTTCTTATATCTAGTGTTTTTAAAAATTTTGTAAAATAACAAAGACAATGTCATTTTGGTATAGTTTCTTTAAGTATCAACATGCATTACAAAATGCATGATTATTATGTAAAATCCTGATTTTTTGAGACATTTTTAATATAAAGTTTAATAAAAGTTACTTCTTTTGGCATTTTCTGCTTTAAAAATGTCAGTGGCAAATTAGAATATGTTATGGGCGTTGCCTGTTTTAGAAACCATTTAGAAACCATGTGTAAAACCACCGACTGTATATCCTTTCTGGGTATAAATACACGGCGTCATCAGTCGTCTCTATTCAAGCTTCAAAAATCAAACTCAAGTCAAAAGCACACTCTCTCTGTCGCTCTCTATTTCGAAACCACTAGAAGCGGACACGTGTCATCCAAAATGGACACAAAAGTTGGTTCTGTCAACGTCGTTGCGTCGCCGAATGCCGACGTCGGCTGTCTACCGTCACACGGAGTCGTTTCCTCCGTCCAGACATCCACCGTTCCAATCAGCTTCTCCGAGGCCACTCTCGGCCGACACCTGGCTCGCCGGCTAGTTCAGATCGGTGTCTCTGATGTCTTCTCTGTTCCCGGCGACTTCAACCTCACTTTGCTTGACCACCTCATCGCCGAGCCTGGACTCAACCTCGTTGGCTGCTGCAATGAGCTCAACGCAGGATACGCCGCTGACGGATACGCTAGGTCTCGCGGCGTTGGAGCGTGCGTAGTTACTTTCACTGTCGGCGGACTTAGTGTGATCAACGCCATTGCCGGAGCTTACAGTGAGAATCTACCGGTGATTTGTATTGTCG